GCTAGCAGGTTGGAGGCCATCGGTAGCAAGTTGGAGGCCATCGGTAGCAGTTTGGAGGCCATCGCTATTTACTCTGCTTGTTACTAGTAGCTACTTGCTCCTAGTAGTACGGCCAGGAGCCCCTGGTAGCGTTCTTGCTCCTAGTAGCGAACATTGCTAGTAAGTTCCTTTTGATGTGTCGGGCCTGAGAGCGATAGGCTTTGCAGTCGCTCACCTGACGGCGCAGTACGCGCAGCGTCGCTGGTCGCTCGAAAAGAAGGGTCGCCTCGCCGTGACGTCCCACCGCGTCTGCCATGACTAGTAGTAACAGGTGCCACGCTAGTAGTAACAGGTGCCTTACTAGTAGTAACAAGAAGCTAGTAGTAACAGGTGCACATCTTTGGCAAACAAACCTTTCCAAATCACGAAGTTGGAACGTATGCAAGCTTTTCCACAATGCTCACGCGGTCTGCCTTCTGAAGTCTTCTACGGGGAGTGCGCACAAAGTGATCCCCTCATGCCATGCGACATTGACAACTGCTGGATTGGGAACTTTGGACGCCTCTCCTCCTTAGCTTCCCGAAAGGGATTGCAGGCCATATTTGGACTCCCAGACCGAAAAAGCTTTGAAGACCACGTCCAAGTATGTGAAGGTGTTCTCTCCTTTGTAGCTCGATGTTGCTCCGAAGATCTCCATTGTGGGATCGTTCTATCCCATCCTTCCCTTCGAGTCGAAGAGCGAACCGCACTCCCGTCCGTGAGACTTCCTCGACACACGACGGAATCCCTGGCGCCTGCGAAGGCTGCCTCGATCACGGTGGAGGCCCCCATGTCCGTCATGTAGCAGTTCTCCACCCGCAAGCCGACGGGCGTAGAGGCTCGAACGCCTTCCGCCAGGGCATAGGCATGGCGGGTCTCCTGAGAGATCAGCTTAGCAGGTGAGCTGACATGATGATTTTCACCCAAGCCCACCGAAAAAACACACCACCCTACCAGCACAATGGCAGGTAAAGGGCTGAGGTGTCGTTCATGGAACATGAACAAACACCATCCACTTTCAGAAAGGCAAGGAAGAAAGAAAGGCAAGAGAAGAGGCTGGTCTAACAGTCCAAACACCTCCCCCCCCCAAAAAAGGGAGAAAGACAAACAAAAAAACAAACAACAAACATATTTTTGCTTTGTCCTGTTGTTTTTTTGAGTTGAAAGACCTCGCCTCACACCGCTGAAAAAAGACACACGGGTCGTGTGGAGAGGGAACAGAGGAATTTGGCGCCGCTTGCCGTCCCTGTCCGTGGTGTTTGGCGCAGCGTTTGGGGACCCACCTCATAGCCTTCTTTCGCTTCATCGTGTTGGAAAGCTCAACTCCAACAGATCTTGGAAAAATGTCTGATCTCGCACGTTTCAGGGTCTTACTACTAGGAGCAATCGGACGCTACGAACGGGGCTCCTGGCCTTACTACTACAGGAGCGATCGGACGCTACGAACGGGGCTTCTTTGAGGCCCACCTCAGACTTCCTGGCGAGGTTCATCCAAGTCGGCACCGACCACTTCCACCATCTCTCCGAAGATGGGCCTAAGCGCAACAAGAGCAAACCTCTCCCAAGTTGAGCATCCGCAAACGGATTGGTCTGGAATCTTTGATTTAATACTTGGGTGCTTTCAAATCATTGCCTTTAAAGAATCTAAAGCTAAAGATGCTGTGCCAACAAGACTAAATTGACTAAACTAGATTCCTTTCAGCAAATGGAGTCCAAGATACAAGGACTTTTCTGCGCAACAGGGCCAACAGGGTGTGGTCGTGAGAATTCTTGTTTGAAACCTTGAGGTGTGGTCCTGAGCTCAAAAAATCTCGACCACATTGGTCTGAAGGACCCTGTTGGATGGAGACCATCTCTCCATCTCTTTCTCTCCAAGTGAGCTGCTCTACCGGAAAGCGCTCACGCTCGGATGCTCGTGCAGCACGTGACACGGCTACACATGTGTGTGTGTGTGTGCTGGCGAGAAACAGTGTCTCCAGTGGTGTGACTTTCATTCGATGACAGGCGTTGCGATAGGCCGCCGTCGAGTGGAAGATATTCCTTGGGCAGGGCACGGACGGCATGGGGCACGGACCGACGGTGTGCGCAGAGTCAGGTCGTCAGGTCGACGTCCCACGTCTGCACCGTCCCGGACGTGGGAGGCCACGTCCGAATTGGAAGGACGAAAGGAAGGACAATGACAACGAATTGTGCCAAATTGGAAAATGAGAAGTAACATTGAACTAACCACATCCTGAACACAGTTCAAACGGGAATGGTCCAATGGTCCCTTGATGTCCCTTCTCCCGTTCTCTGCCTCACCATGGAGTTTCGGCTCAGGCTTCGGTTGTTTCGCCTTCTCGCGGTTAGGCTTAAAGGCGTGCAGAACGTTCACATTTGGCACCTGCTACTAGTAGCGATGCACTTGTTTCTAATAGCTTCTTGTTACTACTAGTAAGGCACTTGTTACTAGTAGCGATGCACTTGTTCTTCATGAATAACTTATGAACAAAGTCTGGAGACAAAAACCCGAGGTCAGTGACCAGAACATGGCCGATTGTAGTGACCGTCAAAAAGAATACGTCAGAACAGCACAGCACGTGACTCGCATGATGAGTCATGAAGAGAATCCGCCGAACACCTCTCCAGTTTTCTGGGTGTTTTGTTTCCCTTCATCCATTTCCAACGTCTTCTTTTGGTGCGTCCTTTGGTCGCTCCAACCACGTGTTGTTCCTTCTGGTTTCTTTCCTTTCCGTTGGCCGTTGCTGGCCGCGCGGCTTGCTGGGCCGCTTGCTGGGCGGCGGCTCTGGCGGCGGCTCGGAGCCCAACACCGCTGAGGTGACCAAGGCCTTGGCTGAGTCGGTCGGAGGTCTGCGAGAGCGCGTCGTTGGGAGGGCGTCGTTCGGGACAGGTTTCATTGTTTGTTCCATGCCCTGATGTGCGCGTCTCAGAATGTGGAGAGTATGTGTTGTAGCGCTTTCCCGAAGGTCCGACATGGGGCCTCCCTTCCCCCCCACAGACCTATGTCGCATTGATTCAGAGGTCAGCATTTCACACACAATGGTGTCATATGGTCACATATGATCACCAAGAAATGCTTGGGTGAACCCATCATTGGCCTAAACACTCTCCGACGAACCCGCGGCAAACCCGATCCCGGAGGCGGGCGATTCTCCGGTGTCTGTCGAGATTTGCAGAGTCGACGAGACATACTGAGACATCCAATGCCGATGGCGTCATGGCGTCAGATGCGCGTTCTGCCCATATTGGAGACATTACTCATTGACTCATTGGTGGCGGTATCATTGTGTGTCTTGTTCTTTGTTGAGTGACTCTTTATCCTTCAACCAGTTACTCTCATCTGTTGCACACACTGAGACCAAACAAGGGTAAGCTGATGTAAGATGACGTCAGTGTCGTGATCGACACGACACGATCGAACGAACGTCGTCTCTTTCCGACATCGGCACGTCGTCTCGTCGCTCCCCGGTGGGCCGATCGCCGGCTTCGCCGCGGTTCGATGGAAATTCGCTTGGCCTGGCAACCGATCGGCAACGATAGGCCTTTGGTGGCGTACCCGGTGCCTTTCGGTCGTTGCCCGGTGCGGGCCCAGCGGCTGGCAGAAGGTTCGGGAACTTCCCGATGGCCTTCGCCTCCTCCAAGCCACCGATCGTGGGCCGTGCCGGCAGGGCTGCAGGTCCCAGATCCACCGCGCCGGGGCGTGGGGGCAGCCGCAGGTGGGGCGGGGTCTCGTAGAAGTGGCTGAAATGCCTGGGCAAAAAGTGGAGCACCATTGGAGATGGGACCACTTGCAGGTGTCCACGTTCAGGGTGAAGCCTGTAGGTTTGTGGAAAGCCATGGAAAGCCGAACACCTCGCAAGTTGAACCACTCTCAAGCGTGAGGGCCACGAGCGGGGTGAATGAAAGGTAGCTGGATGGGGGAGCCACAAAGCTAAGGACTGTTGTACCACCGTACCACCAACATCTTCTATCATCTTCTTATTCTTTCGTTGTGTCGAATCTCCAAGGTCGAAATCAAAGCATATTCTTCAGCCAGTGTTGCGGTGTTTCACAGGTCATGAGTGTTTCACACGAATCCTCAGGTGTGCCCTGTGGGTGCTGTCTGTTCTATGTAGAGGGGTGCTATTTTAAGTAGAGGATCTCATGTATATGATGTACATGTTTCCAGTGTGAGGGTGAGCCAGTAGGTTTGTAGAAAGCCGGTTGCCGGTTTTCAAGACGCAGATCCCTCCAAAAATTGGTGGAGGAAATCAAGAAAGCCAAGAAACGTGAGGCTCAATCACCTTTTTAGAACTCAGTAGTTGAGTGATTGGATGATCATCACCATCTCGGATACGGCAATGATGGGATATGACTGCCAAACCTGCTGAGCAAGCGGCTCCATGCTTGGCCAAGGCTGAGCGCTTGGCTCATTTAGAAGACCTTCAGCATCCACCTGGCGCAACAGGTCCCAGCACCAGGGTGTTCCACACATCCAAACAGAGCCTTTCTGCAACTCTGTCCACAACCGGATGCTACCAGCATGGCACTGAGAAATTGATACCTGAAACATGCACTTCTCCCTGCCCTATTTTGCGCACCTTTCTTCGCGCGTCTGTCCAACCACGGCAACGACACACGCACCATCGCGCACTGGTTGGCGCGCACTGGTTGGCGCACCCACATCAACCACTTCAGCATATTTCAGCCCAACAGCGTCCAAGGCACATATTGCAAGGATGCCCCAGTCTTCGAGATCTCTTCGGTACAGAGATCCTCGGCCAAACCTTCTCGAGCTTCCAAGGCCTTGGATGGTGTGGATGGTCAGTCCGCAATGCCTTGCTGACGCACGTGGAAGGAGGCGGGCCAGAAAGGCAGCGCAAAAGTGGACTCCAAAGTATCCTCTTTCGATGGTGTTTTGGCCCAGCAATGACATGGGTTAGGACTGTTTTGGAGCTATGAAGTTTTCTCGGCGGGGGGAGAAGGGTGATCAGCTGGTGCATGGAGAATTTGAACTGGAAGCACTGTAAGCTGTATGGCCGGGATACTGCTACATGCTTAGTTTTTGGAGGCCGCATTCGGCATTTGCCGGTTCACACCACCCACCTTCCCCACCCACCATTTTCCACCACCACTCCAAGCTACGCAAGCCCGCACCGCGATGGCATCCGGACCCACGGTGAGGGCATCGGTCAAAGGAGGCATCTTCTTGGCGAAGGACACCGCTGAGCTCTTCACCTGGGAAGGACCGCCGGAAACGAGACTAGGAAGGGACCGACCGACCGAACGAAACCCAACAGCATGGGTCAACCCTGCACCAAGTGGCCAGGCCGACCAAGCGGCCAACCAAGCTTCAGGGTTTGCGGGGAGTTTCTGCGTTTGGCACCAGCAACATGGCAGTTTCTGAAGGAAGTTGGAGTGTGCCGCCATCGCAGGTGGAAGTTGGTCGACGCTGACTCAGTCAATGCCACCCCCTACGTGCCAAAAGGGTTCCCATCGGGCCCAGACAATGCTTATCACACAGCTACAACTCACCGTGGAGCGTAGAAGATACGAAAGGTTCTGAGCCATCTTGCCATCCGTAGTCGATAACACTTCACTGAGGATGATCGGCCAACCCTTTAAACAAAACAAAACTATGGGCTCGAATGGGATGCAACAGGAGCTAGCCACCGCTACTAGGTTGAAGGCCATCGCTAGTAGGTTGAAGGCCATCGCTAGTAGGTTGGCGGCCATCGCTAGTAGGTTGGAGGCCATCGCTATTAGGTTGAAGGCCATTGCTTCTAGGATTGAGGCCATCGCTAGTAGGTTGGAGGCCATCGCTCTTAGGTTCCTAATGCTATTAGGTTGAATGCAACAGGAGCGGCACAGCGAAACCCGAGCGGCTGCCGTCAGCACATCAATGCGATGTTCGATGTTCTCTGCTGTCAGCTCACTCGCCTCACAAAGAGATTTGCAACGGTTTCCACGGATTTGCAGTGAAAAAGTGCGATGGATTCATTGAGATGGTTTGACCCTGCCAGCGGGCAAGAAGCGTTCCTTTGTTGGGGCGGCTGCTCCAGAAAGCGATTCAACACACCAAACCCTCTGAAGAAAGAGGTGGTACAAAAGCAATTTTGAAGATATGACCAACTCTTCCAAAAAGAAGTTGGTGGTAAAGAAGACGCCGGCAAACAAGATTGCCTCTATCATCCCTATCTATCAACCAGAATCCACTATTGACATTGACATCTTCCTGTGCCTTGCTCGCCACGCTTTGCCAAGCCCAAGCCAAGAGGAATAGGATTTACCCTGCCCGGCACCCTCCCACCACACCCCACCATGCTCTGCCCTCCATCCGCCTTGGCTGGGAAGGAGAGGTTGCGCAGCAAACGTCGAGCGCGCTTGTGGGACGAGGTGTGCAAGGTTTTTCGGTCCGTCTTCGGCAGCGACTTCAGGGCCTCCAGCAATGACAAGCACATGCTAGCCAAGGAAGGGAGGCAAAAGGCATGATTTCTAGAACATGCTGCGAAAAAAGAATGAAACTGCTTTGGATTTTTTGGGGAGTCAGAAAGGCTTGGAAGCACAGGTTGGCCAAATTTGACTCAGCACGCGGAGGCTGTGAAGTCCACCATGGTCCACCATGGTCCAACCCCCTTCACATGGAACAAACCGAAAGATCTCGTGCATGTTCACCATTCCTTGGCCCCAAGGGCGTCTTTTTGGTGTCTTTTCTTCTGGCACATTCTTTCCACACCTGTTCACCGCATGCGCATTCTTTCCGCGCCTTGTCCAAGCGAGCTGCCTTGGAGAGGAGGAAATCCACCGTCTCCAACGCACCCGTCGACTGCGTCATGGCAGTTCCGGGTCGACGGCGCGACGCGCCCGCGGCGTAAGCACGCGGGCGCCGTGCGGCTTACGCGTCGTGCGCGGTCGACATCCTTGAGATCTGCGAGGGAAGGGCGAGGTGCAAATGCCCTGATGTGGAGCCCTGGAGCAAAGGTGGGTGGAAAGACTTTTTCGAAAATGACTCCAGACTTCTTCAGCCGATGACAGCTCGGACGGCACGATGGCACGAAATGAAGAATGAGGAATTTGTATGGAAACTTCAGCAAACGTTAAACAACATCAACGGTCTCTGATTGAAGAGCCACTGCAAACCGAGCCGAACACTTGCTCCACAAGAAAAGACCCAAAGTTGCAGCAGGGGTGCCAGGAGATCGTTGAAAGTCGGGTGAGCAAGCCTGGAAGCCCAGAAGAACGCACCTTGGGAAGCCTTTGCTCCTTTCTCCCATTCGTTTGTCTATGTTTTTTAAGCCTTCAAACATCTTTAGACGTTAGATTCTTGGGAACACGTCAAGAGCATGTCTATTATGTTATATATAACTAATAAGTAAGTTCTTCCTACCCTTCCTCTTCCGCTCCAGGCCATCAAACTGAGTGCCCCAGCGCATGGTCCGGGCAGAAAACCACACACATCAGACCGTGCGGCATATCCACACGGTCGGTCCACCTGAGTCTGGGCAGGGAGCAGCATGTTTGAGTCCGGGCTGGGGCACCTTTTTTGGGACCAATCCAAACATCAGCTCGCCTGGCTGGAGGCCATCGCTACTAGGTTCCTTTTGCTATCATTTTTGGAGGCCATCGCTACTACAGTGGTTTCAGAGGTTCGATGGCACAACCCCCAAGAGGTGGTCAAAAATGGGCCTCAAAGACAACCTCTTGGGGGTACAACACCATCGAACCTCTGAAACCACTGTAGTAGCGAAGGGCAAACACCCGAGTCGGGCCCGTTCTTTCCCCCCCCCACACAAGGTCCACCGTCGACATCTCGACCGCCTGGAGCTCTCTCTGGGCTCCCGAGCCAGCGCAGGCCATTGTGAATTCCCAGCTGAAAGCCGCCGTAAATACAAGGTGCCACCTGAGAGCAAGGAGAGCAAGAGCAAAAGGAGAGCTGAACCTTCACAAGTGAAAACACGACTTGACACGATCCACGAGTGAATCCATAGAAAGTTGGTGACGACGACGTCAGTCTTCTCAGCAACTTCGAGGTCGGGTCTGCTTGAGCCCTCCGTTAGCTCTGCTCCCTTGCACAAGCACAGCTTACAAAACTCAAGAAACATGGAGCTCCAAATTTTTCCAGAATGCCTTGCCAGGCTAGGAGGTGTTGATAGCGACATCTGAACACCCAAAACCGGTGACCCTGAGTCCTTCCAATAGACACTCTCAAAACCACCTACACACAAATCAAACATCGATGATGGCCAGTCGGCCGCTCCAGCCCGACGACTCGCTTGGGCACCCCTGACGTTGTCGGGATGCCCCTCAATGTTCGTGGCCTCAGCTGGAAGCTGACTCAACGAGGACTGCGAGGAGGGCCTCAAGTGAAGGCAATGGAGGTGGGCCCGATGAAGGCGGTGTGGCGGAGAATTTGTGTCCAAAATTCGAAGCCTAGACTCTAGACCATCCCCCCACAACCATCAGGCCCATATGAATAACACACCCAAACCTCCAGGTAGCTGACACATCTGCTCAGATTGTGACATCCTTAAGCAGTGACGCGGGACGAAACCCCAAAGACTGGGAAGCTGGCGATCTGCAAAAGTTCTTCCTCATTCTTGACCTGCCATTGGGCCATGTCAAGCATGGGTCCACATTGCATGCTGTCTTCCTAAACACTGGAGGTCATCTATGGCCAAATTCGGCTCAGTGCCCGAATCTGCCAGCAGTCATCCTGCGTGGCATCCTACGCTTCGACTTGGTGACGAGCGAGAAAAAGAAGGGGGGGGGCCGTTCCACAGGCGATGGAGCCGGGAAAACCGATGACCATCTTGTCCAATCGTGCAGCCACAGCGATCCGCCAAGCCACATGGACGGATCCACATGGACACAGCAAGGATTGGTTTGTCACACGGCACACGACCAAGCCATGTGTCCGGTCGCTGCACCGGACGACGGTCGCTTACACGGCGACCGTAATGGAAGTCGCTGAAGCGGCTTTGGTGGGAAAGGAACCAACCTTGCCTGCAAATGGACCAAAACCGGTTTACAGAGTCTACATCCGAAGGGAAATAAGATGGGTACTAAGATGGGTTACAAAAGTTTTTACAGTTCAGTCTTCTCTGACCCACAGCCTCTACAGCCTCTCATGTCAAGAGGGTAGAGGGCTCTGTGACGTGGAAGCTGATCTTCACCAAGGATTTTTTGTCGTTTGCGGATGGTAACAGGGGTGGACATGGAGATAATTCAATAGAGTTAATGCAAATCTAGTTACAGTTATTTGCATTTCTGCGACAAAACCTGCAAAGGAGGCTCAGGCTTTGAACCTTCCGCAAAACTGTGCTTGGAGTTCATAGATGCAAGAAACGGGCAACCACAAAGCCATGCCAACGTCAAATTTTAAGTGGGGGCACCTTTGTAGGGGCACTACTGATGCTAGAGGATTCTGCTTTTCATTCCAACCATCAGAGGGGTGATGTTCTCTCACACCTGGACGTTCGGTCAGCAGATCGCTCTGTTTTCGGTCGGGAAGAGGTGGCTCGGGCGTTCTTCGCAGCTCACTCAGCCAGCTTTTTGATCCTGGCGCGATGTGATTGTTGGCCGACAGGTCCTTGCAGTTTTCTTCTGATTTATATTGAGGGGGCGCCTACAATGTATATAGGTGTTTTCCTTTTGAATCACAGCCAGTGCAGGAATTGATGTCTACCTAGGCGTTTTCACCATGATGGCCCCAACTGGTTGTTTTCTGTGACTCTCGGCCGATGTTCTCGGCCGATGTGCCTCACGTTTTTTGACGCAAGCGAGCCATCACTTGCATCATTTCGAAGAACCAAGTCCCATAAACAATGAAAAAACGCAACAACCTGCTAGCCGTGAGCAGTCTTCAATAGGCCTGCACAAGAAAACCTTGAGGGTCCAAAGAGTAAAAGGAAATGACAGCACAGGAAAGGAAAGGAAAGGAAAGGAGGGAAGAAAGGAAGGAGAAAAAAGAGGATCCAAAGGTCAAGAGGAAAAGGTGTAGGTGTAAGAACAATGAAAGAATATAGCTTTAAAGAAAGCTTCGTTCTCTTTTCGCGTCCGTCCCGCCACTGTGCTGCGACCTCGAAATAGCTGTGATCAATGACCTCCACCTGCACCGTTTGCACCTAGGCAATCGAGAGCCCCTGGGAACCTCTACTGCGAAGCTGTCCACTTCACCATGAACCGACGTATAACTCGGTCTCAAAGACCAACTTATTGTTTACTAGTAGTAAGAATGCTCCTAGTAGCTATGCCAGGAGCCCCTAGTCGCTTCTTGTCACTAGTAGCACGAATGCTCGTAGTAGTGTATAAGGCCAGGAGCTACGTTGCTCCGTTCGTAGTGATGCCCTTTACTATGAAAACGAGAAATCGGAGGAACGATTTCAGGTGTGTTCTTCGAGGATAAAGAAAACCACCTCGGTTTGGGCGGTTTGGGCGGCTCTCGGTGTGGCGGCAAAACCTTTCGCCGCTCTCCCTCTCTCCCTTTGTCTCCCTCTCTCTCTCTACGCGCTCCGTTAAACGCTCACGAACCCCCGAGCGCGAGCTTTGAAAGACCTTTGCTCCGTTCGTAGCGTCCTTGTTCCTAGTAGTAAGCCCCGGAGCCCCCGCTTCGTAGCGTCCGACCGCTCCGTTTCGTCGCTTCGCTTCGAAGCCGTGGAGGTCGGTCCAGGAAGGTCGGTCCGAAGGTTCCGCGCCGCTCATCCGTTCCCGGCGACCGCCGCGAGGCCACCCTTCGTCGGTCCAAGCGACCAAGGTGATGAGCCCCAAGAGGGAAAAGCCGATGCTCAACATGAAGACCTGTACTGATGGATCGCTGCAAGTGAGTTGTCAGAATGAGTTGAGGAAACCAAACCTGAAAATACTGCCACCATCTGGGATGGTATCATCTGGCACCATCTGCTTCTCGATTCTGCGGTGTCAATGACTTGCGCTGCCCACACAGGCACATTCGTCTCTTTGCTGCCCCCCCACCAGCGGGATCAGTGGTTGGATCCCCGAATCGGTGGTTGTGGAATGACCTCACAAAATCGACGTGTTTTGCCTCACAGAATGACCTTGCCTGTGACAGTTTGGAACTTGCCCAAATCCGATTCCATGAAGCACCAAGAGCAGTTGCCAAACACAGTGGACAGTGAAGAGAGGTCACAAAGCAACGCAGTTTAGGAGGTCTAAGGATCAGGTAGCTTCATTCCGTGTGGCCCCCCAACCTGTACGTCGTGGGGTGGCCGGGTGACTACTCACGCCAAGGAGCCCCGGAGTATCCCAACGACGGCGTCGCCAAGAAGTACCCGACCACCCTGAAGTCTCGTCCCGGGCTGCTGGCTTCGTCCGGTCTCGTCGCATAACACGACATGGCATGGAGGTCATGCGTGTTTTTGGACTACTAGTAGTCATGGCCTCCAACCTACAGTAATTGCGATGGCCTCCAACCTTAAAAAATGTCCGAACGCTACTCTTTGGGTGTCCATACATGCCTCAACAACTTGGTCTCTTTCGGGATCAAAAGCATGTTGCTCGACGCACCCACTATATGGTGTGAGTCGGTGCTTCTTCTGATCCAGATCTGATGAATACCTGGAGTTGATCTTGCCAGCCCCAAAGTCATCACGAGCAGGGCTGTGGTCGAAACCCCAACCAGGACCGCTGATGGATTCCTGAAACCCCCAAATCGTTGCAGCTTGGCAGGAGACACCTCTGTGCTATGCCTGCGAATAAGCTCCGTTCATAGCTACCTGATGCTACCATAGGCCCCCAAACAAACTCCGACATCCAACTCCCGACTTCCCCGGTGAGTACCCAACAGGGGGCGGACCTCCCGAGTTCCCCTGAGCACAGCTCCTTTGGACCATCACTGCGCTCGCTCCACCGATGCCCAGATCCCACAGAGACCCGAGACCCGACGTGGATCGAAGGGTGTGACTCGGGCCCGCACGTCGCACGTCGACTGGGGTCCGGGTCCGCACGTCAGGTCCACTCGGCCCAGTGGCACATTGCTCACGAAGCCGGTCATGGCAGAAGACAAGTGCATCAGGGCACCCTTGGAGTCAGACTCGGAGGGAGGCCGAGCTGCTACTGGAGGCCGCTAGTAGCTTGGGCACCCTTGAAAAAAACAACTCCAACCTGGTCCCGGTCATAAACCGACATCCCCAAGTCCGCAGAATGATCTGCAGATCCCATGTGTGCTTAGGAGCTGTGCTCTTGAGCCACCGCCACTTCTGGCCACCCGCCGTTTGTAGCTTGTATAGCCTCCGTTAACAACATGAGAAGGAGAGTCAAACGGTCCAGTTGCCTGCCACTCAAGGGCCATGGGGAAGGAAAGCACCCCTTCTGCAAATGGAAGCTGTCCTTCGTTCACATGTTATCCATTGCGTGAATGTGTGGCAAGGCATGGCTGCATGGCCATGCCCTGGTACCCCAAACACCTAGAAAATAGAAAAGACCGCACTACCGAACTGGGCCCTGTACTTTGACTTCAGCACTATTCCAAAGTATGGCTTGAAGTTCATGAGGGGCGGCTGCTCAACCCTATCCCCGAGCTCATGTAGACATCGTCTCGCCCACACCGCCCATAGCCGCGCTGATGGTGTTTCGTCCATCTCTGAGCTCGGTGCTACGCGAGCCGAGTTGGCTGATCCTCCACAATCGATCACCACGGCTGCTTGCCCTCACCAGGTTGTGATGGGGACTAAAGTCTAGTTCTTTCGGGGCATGCCCAGGCATATCAAAATAAAAGGCTGCCTCAAGTTCCTAGGGGCTCCTGACATCGCTACTAGGAGCAAGGACGTTACTAGGGGCTCCTGGCATCGCTACTAGGAGCAAGGACGTTACTAGGGGCTCCTGACATCGCTACTAGGAGCAAGGACGTTACTAGGAGCTCCTGGCATCGCCACTAGGAGCAAGGACGTTACTAGGGGCTCCTGGCATCGCTACTAGTGACTAGGAGCAAGGACACTGGTAGTTTCCTAACGGCTGAAGTTGAGAAAGATCACCATGCCTTTCCAACCAGCCAAAGAAAAATCAGCACCGAGCCAATCAACTATCCGTCTTTGTCTGACATCACTTCACCAAGAAGACCTCCGAAAAAGTCACAATGATTGTCCCGAACTCTAGTCGACTCTAGCCCAGCCTGCCACCTTGGAGCAAAGGCATATTATCAAAGACATCACCTTGGATGCAGGGCGAGGGTGAAGTGGCAGTGGACCAAAAGGGCATCACAAATGGAGGGCGTTGCATGGCCATCGCCACTTCTCTGCTCGCCTCTGCCTACCATCAACTCTCAGGATTTAATACTTATGATTCATGATTAATGCATGATTCACCTCTAGCTCCCAGCTACGTTCTCAGTGCAGGTCCCTCAAGACCCCTCAGATAGAGTAAGTGTAGCAAAGGCACCAACACTGTGGCCAACACAGGTGTGGCTTTGGAGTAGCACCTGGGCAACGGCTTAACAGCTCCTAGTCTTTGGATGCTATAGTGGGGGGCGAGTCACCAGAACAAAACGATTCCTTCGAATGAAATCATTCAGGTTCTACAATGTTCTACACTCATTTCTCCCAATAGCGATGGCCTCGAACCTAGCAGCAATGGCCTCCAACCTGATAGCGTCCTTGTTACTAGTAGCGATGCACTTGTTCCTAATAGCTTCTTGTTACTACTGGTAAGGCACTTGTTCCTAGTAGCGTGGCACTTGTTCCTAGTAGCTTCTCGTTACGAACGTAGCAATGCCAGGAGCTACGTTCGCAGCGCCCGATCCCTCCGTTCGTAGCAATGCCCTGTGCTACTACTAGCAAGAGGGACACTAGTGATGTGGCTTCACGGGCCACATGTGTTTTCCACATTTTGACATGTCACATCCAGACAGCTCGCCTGCTGCTCGCCCTGCTCGCCATATCTGGGGCGCGGGCAAAAGCACCAGCAAGCTGAACCCAGACGCGCCAAGGAATGTAATGAAGAAGAAGAGCGTTCGCAACTGAAGAAGCCTGCAGATTCTGTGGTTTGGTTGAGTTCAATCACTCTTTAGCATCTCTTTCTTGAATCACAAGTGTCAGCCAAAGAAATGCACACCATCATTCTCCAGGATACAGTCCAAAGATCACCATGATCCTTCCCATCGCTGAACACAGAAAGGCCCTGGCTGAGGCCCTCACCCCGTATGATTGCGGGCCTCATAGCCTGACACCGACAGGAAGTGGAATTGACGCTCGCCAAAGTGCTTACTCCAAAGAGTGCGAACGCCCGGGTGTTCTGACCATAGTAACAAGAAGCTACTAGGGGCTCCTGGCCATACTTCTAGGAACAAGGACGCTACTAGTAACAAAGGGCATCCGCTACTAGGAGCAAGGACGCTACGAACGGGGCTCCTGGCATCGCTACGAACGGAGCAGTGCTGAATCGGGAACAAAGCTCTGGCAGCTCTGCAGCCATCCCTTGACGGGGAAACAAACATGAAGACGAAGGCCACGGGACGGTGCCGATGAGCACGAAGCAGAATCCAAAAAGAGCATTTGGAAGGGCATCCACGCACCCACACTTCAGGACACCTTTTGGCCTTTGCAAGGGTGTGGCTGACATTCCTTTGCTGAATGCTTTTCCTTAAGTACAGTACGTTGTTCCTGGAAGAGATAGGCACACAGCTTTTAAAACACCTGTGAGGCAAGAAAAATCAAGAAAAACAAACCCCGCGGCAATAAGCGGTTGTACGTCCAATGCTTCGTGCACTCCGCCATCGCTGCGTCGTCCCAACATCGCCCTCTGTAAGGCACTTGTTACTAGAAGCGATGCACTTGTTCCTAATAGCTTCTTGTTACTACTAGTAAAGCACTTGTTCCAAGTAGCGTGGCATTTGTTCCTAGTAGCTTCTTGTTACTAGTAGTAAGAATGCTCCTAGTAGTATGGCCAGGAGCCCCTAGTAGCGTCCTTGCTCCTAGTAGCGATGCCAGGAGCCCCTAGTAGCTTCTTGTTGCTATGCGCATCGCCCTCTGGGGCACCGGACAAATCGAGAAGACTTTGCTCCACACGAAGGGCGCCTCAGTTGGAGCCAGCGTGCTCGTCATGGTGCGGAAGACTGCGCAACTGATGCTGCGCAAATTATGTTGCGCAACTGATGCTCCGTGAACCTACGTTTCACCCTGTTGCCTTGGCCGTGCTCGGAACCACTTTGCCAAGCAAAGTGCAAGTTCGATGCATCAGCACAGCTACATCCACACATGCATGTCATGAGTGCACAAGTCGAATCTGCTCGTTGTTGCAAGGCTGCCTAGCTCTGGAGGTTCAAGCTGTAAGCTTGAGCTGGCCATGGGAGGAGCAGTTCTACAATCGAAAGTGCCTATGTTGTTCCACTGCCATAGCCACTTTCGGCCCTACACCTACGTAGTGTGATTCCATATGCTGCGTGTTCTAGTGCCTATGCCTCCGCAAATGCTTAGCGATGCCAGGAGCCCCTAGTAGCGTTCTTGTTCCTAGTAGCGATTCATGCTAGGGCCCATCACCTTGTCTCCACCAAACCCTGCGTGCACACACCGTGCAAACATCGCGCGTGCAAAAACACCATTCAAAGCAGGCCACTGGCATTGCCACCCAGTATGACATCAAGCCCAGTGTGCCCGATTCTCCAGTCGACCTGAGGTGCAGCAGACGCAGATGGAAGAATGGCCAGCACAGCTTAGCGTGGCTGAGCCCTAAACGATGTGCGATGATAGGCTGTTAAACGGACATGCCCTCTTTTCCATCAGAATTTGTAGATATATGATATATGATAACGTTTTCCTGGAAGGCTGCTGGAAATGGTTAAGCACAAACTGGAGAACAAACACAACCACCAGGGTCCAGATTTTGACATGAGCTGCCCATGTTGTCCAAGAAGTGGCTGCAAGCATCTCTAGCCGGACCATTTTCTTCCGTTCCGAGAAATGAGGCGAGAGGCAAGCCATAAGCATCGTGAAAGAAGGAGGGCATCCAAGATAGCCAAAAATACCTGGAGCCAACTTCTGAGCTTCAAAGAGCTTGAGTACCCGTGAGTACCTGTGAGTACCTATGACCTACCTGACCTCGACGGGTTTCATTACTTCGAATTGCTTCCAACGTGAACTGCAAGCCTCCATGCAACCCCTTTTCCTCTTATTCCTTCGCATTTCTCCGCGACAGCGGTGCTTTTCCTGCACGTTGCCATGGCCAGACAACAACTTTCAGTAGCAACACTGCAGCGTGGGTAACGCTCAGTCGCCTCTGGTCGTGGGTAACGCGATGCCCCGACTGCCCCACAACCATGGGCCCCGACTGCTGACCTAATTACCTCACTCTGAAATCACCACTGCCCCATTGCCTGTCCTAGAATGGCTCTTCACAATTCCCATTCTTCGGCAAACATTTGCAGCAAACTCAAGGCAAGGCACCACAAGAAGCTGAATGCAGCTTCTGCGATCATAATGCCCACCACGGTTGGGTGCCTGAGCTGATACTGAGCTAGCGTGGTGGCAGTGAGAGTTGAAAAAACCCAAGAGACCCCGAGATACCCCGAGAGATGTCCGTTACATGGCAGCCTTCAGTTTCCATCTCTCCAGTAAATCCCCCGTTTGTCCGATCAGGTCCGGGCATAATGAAGTTCTGACCAGGACAAAACCTCGAACCTGTGGCTCCATGACCTCAAAATGTCCTTTGCATGGGGGTTCATAAAAACCACCTCTTGGGGTCTGTGCCATCTACTCTCAATCCACTATAACAAGAAAATGGTAATGACTTCAAGGCAACAAACCCGAGACGCGAAGAAGGGACACCTGGATTTCCTCATCTGTGACCCCTGTCCTTCTACTGAAGAAAGCTCATCTCCTCACAAGCCTCGCTTCAAACACTACCGGCATGGGTTGTATAGACGCCAAGGACGCAAGTGACCAAGCAGGGCACATACGGGCGGAGCGGCGCAGCTCCAACAAGAAGTTCCATCTCGAACTTCATCAAACTTCATTCCCCGTGCCACAAAAGACACGGGGAAGAACGCTTGAAGCCGCTTGAAGCCGCTTGAAAGCCACTTGGGAGTGTTCTGATTGAATCAGCTCCTGCTCTCAGCTCAGAGCTGCTCTCATTCAGCTCCTTCAGACCGGCAAAAACGGCGGAAGGCCAGTCTGACAAGCCGAGTGTCTGACAAGGCATCGCTGACAGCATGTCATAGGTATGCCAACGAGGTTAGCAAAGGGAAGCACAGCGAAGCAGCAATATAAGACAAGGCATCAAAGCATCAGTCTCTTTTTCGAGTTCTTTGAAGCAAGTGGTTCTTTTGTTTTTTTGAGCCCTGTGTTGCCGTTCTGTCTCCTTCTTGTGCTCCCACACCAATCACACCAACATCCAAAAACCACGCACACAAAACCTCGTGTTCCTTCCCTCGGATCCGCCAGGTTGCCCCAGGAGCAGCCGCAAAGCGAGTGGTCTGCCAACAGCTGACTGCTGGCTCTTCTCGCCTCAGGACACGGCTCCGTCCAAGTGCCGGTGCCACCGGTGCCACCGGTGCTCGGACCTCGATGCGAGTATGTTGCTTCGATCTGTCCCACCAGGCGCGATCGAAACATGCAAAAGAAAAGGGGCGAAGAAGCGTTGCCAGCAGGGTCGGCTTGCAATTATGCCTGTTCGGAGAATGCTGTTCTGCTGTTCGGCTGCTGAAACACAACGCTGAAGGTCAAAGGATGAGAAGTGACAACGACATTGACTGGAAGAGGGAGTGACACGAGAGTCAAAAGGCAAGCTGCGGAGCTCTTTGATGGCCAGCACCTCTTCCTTCGAGACATATCCTTAGATGCCAAAGCTGAAGCAGCTCTCAAGAGCTGAACTAGCTCTACCCTCTCAGAAGGTCCAACTCCATACGCAGCCCGCAAAAATGGGTCTACTCCATCAATCGCGGCAACAACCCTGGGCTTGGCTCTTTAGGCTCTGGTAGCGTCATTCGTGTTTTGAAATGACAACCTGCGGCCCACCAAACATGTTTGATTCTCGCACGGTTCCTTTTCGCAGCAGCGAATCGACTCAAGGCGCCTGTTCAGCCAAATAGCAGCGGTGGTGCATCAACTGTACGCAATACACCCTGGCTACAATCGGTGAAATTCACACCCGTCTTATCTACAGGTGTGTTGCGGGCTTCGCAGTTCAAAAACTATACAAAGTCAGCCAAGCAAACTCGATTCCCCGTGGGGCCGTAAACCATGCCTTTCCAAGCTGAATTCTCAAAACAAGTCAGGTGAGACTTCTTCATCTTCCTTCTTGGCTCCCTTCTCGCATGCGCCACTGTTCTCAACATTGACAAGTCCACTTTCCAGTGTCTTGAGGAGGTAGTCTGGCTTCATGCTCTTGGTCAACGGGTCTGCCAATTGCTTCGACGTCTCAATCCACCTCAGGTGGTCACCATAGGGACTGTAGATCTCCGATGTCTTCTCGCCATTCACAGTCCATACTCCTTGCCTCAATGCAGCAAGTTCAATGCCCAACCTTTTGTCCTGCACTTTCCTGGGAACCTCAGACAATAAGTGGTCTGATAGACTTCTGCAATCGGTGTAGTAGACGTGCGCCATTCGCCTCTGAGTTTCCTCGTGCCAGTTCTTGAAGTCGTCAAGTCGTCCGGTCAACTCACAAATCAGGCACCGTAGGCGATCTCCATGCTCGACAGCAGTTTGCAGAGCATATGCTTCTGCTTGCAACGTAGCACGACACGCCCTTTTGAGGGTGGTTGAACCAAAGCTGATCAGATGCATCTTGCGACTGCCTTCCTTGAGGCTGCTCGCATTCGTGATGTAGTGAATGCGACCTTGCTGACTTTTGAAGCCCTCTTCATTTGCGAAACTTGCGTCGCTAAATGTCACAACTGCCAAATCGCTCCAGTCAATCCAATCACTCCTTAAGGTGATCTGCAAGTCACTTCCTTGAAGTGCCAATTCAACAACCTTGTTGGCGTTCTTCAAGTCACGTACTGTCGCCTTCGCGCTGCATGCGCGCTGCAGCTCATTCACACGGTAACAAAGGTCTGGTCTTCCATAGCGTGCAACCCAAGCCAAGCTACCAACAACGCTCCTGAGGCTTGTCAACTCTTTCTCTGTCACCTTTTCCGACAGCTTCCGATGCTTGTCGATTTCGATCGGCTTCACTGTTCTGCAGTTCTCACTTGTAGAAATGCTCACGGAGTAGTCTTCATGCTGTACGAACTGCCGTCCGCAGTATCGGAATCTACCTGACTCGGTTTTGCCAATCGTGAACCTTTTGAGGATGCCTTCAATTGTCTTCTTGCCTTCATCAAGGTAGCAATACAACAAATCGTCGACATGTGTCGCGATCATGCCAATCAACTTTCCCTTGGGATTGTGCAAGTAGTGCAACGCAGGTGTGATGCGACTGCATTTCAACCCGGCACTGGTGATGTCACCATTCATCCTCAAGTAAAAGCCTCTGCCTGCGTCGATCGTGCCATAGATCGGAAGGCGTGCAAACAACATTGCATCCGGTGGAACATCCGGACTTGGAATTCCACCGCGTGGCTGTTTGAGCAACAGCAACCGCGTCATCGGTTGACTCTGGAAATACGCTGAAGAAACATCTGCCGCGTGCAGGGTCACGCGATGGCTTGCAGCGAAGCTTGCGATCAACATGCGTCCTTCGGTCTCGGCCGTTGGACTGTCGCAGCGAATGCCTTGTGCACCACGGCTCACCAGCTCGTGGTTTCCACAAGCGACTAAACGAGATCTGTTTTCAGGCTGATGTTCTGGCGTGCCTGTCAAATGGGCCTGCTTATCCACATCCACCCATTGCATGGGGATGGGAACATGCCCCTCCTGAAGCAACTCTTCCAACTCCTTGCCCCGAATGGGCATGGCGGCGTTGAAGCTCTTGTACTTGCTCCACTCTGCCAGCCTGGCAGCCAGAATGAGTTTCTGCATCTCAGGGGTGCAGCGCTCATACTGCAACGTCCTTGACACCTTGCCAGCTTGCGTCTCGCTGTCCTCTCCGAAGCGCTGAGCAACGAATGCTCGGAACTCTGCAGTGTCATTTCCAGCGTCGTCGAAGGCGGCCATGGCGACTAACGGGTGTCTTACCCGCGAGAAAACGGTGAAACCTGTCCACGCGCGAGAGTCAACGTTATCCATGCCTGGCATGGACTCGCTGGTCGCTCGACTGCCGTCTTCATAGACTTTCCTGGTCACGCGTCTTCCTCCGAATCCTTCCGGAACATCTCCGTCATACAGCGGATGGAAGTCATGGAATCTCCTCTTGTTGTGAACACGAATTGCATGACTCTCAGAGATTCTCCAATGGTCTTCATCGTCAACCATTGCAAGCATGACCTCATCGTCTCCGACAATGCCTCCGGGGGTCATTGGAACTGCACTTGCGCTTGCACTTGCGCTTGCGGATGATCGGGCAGCCTTGCCCGTCTTATCTTCTGCTTGTGCTTCTCTCTTGTGTCCCTTCTTAGGGCTTGCCTCTTCGTCCATCATTCGGATGTACTTCTGCTGTCCCAATGTCACTGCTTCTGGGAAAACCGGGATGTTGTTCAAAATGGAGTAGGCCAAAGATTCACTCTCATTGGCTGATCTGAGTTTTCCAGCAGCACACAAAAAAGGAACACCTTCATGTAGCAACCAGATGCCATTATGCGGGTCAACGCCAATCACACGCGAAGCAGTGGACCACACGGTTCCACCTTGCTGGGTGTCACGACGGTAGACCACGAGGTCTCCAACCACAAATGACTTCTTGTTCTGGACTGCTGCATTCCTGGTCAATGCTCTTGCAACGCGGGAACTTGTGTCCAAATGGATGAATGCCTTTTGTGCAGCCATGCGGGATGCATGACACAAATGATACCTTGCTGCAGGATCAAGCTTGTTCTCCAAGACGCCTAAGTTTCCTGCTTCATCCATGTCTGTCACAGATCCTGGAACTCTTGGGTTCCTTCCCAGGACCCATTGTGCTGGAGAATAGCCTTGGACTCTCTGCATGTGGTTCTTCACGGAAGTGCATTCATGCAAGCATGTCTCAAATGCATCACGGCCTACGGCTTCCATGTCATGGATGGTCTTCCTGAGAATTGCCTTCAAGATACCTTGGTGCCTTTCAACCTTACCAATAGCTGACGGTGTCTCCAATGGTGCATAGAAGATCTCGACACCGTGCGAAGCGAACAGCTTGGACACCTCACCTCGGTTGTGGACACCTCTATCCATGATTGCAGCCTTTGGAAAACCTGCCCAACTGATCCATCTACGAAGAATGGCTTGTGCACAGGCCTCTGACGTTGGCATACCTCCACCTTCTTTGACAACCTCTGACAAATGGAATCCTGTCGAAATATCCAGCATTGTGAGAATGCTGTACTTGTTTCCTGCATAGTCCTTCATTTCTGTGACGTCAAGGCCAAGCATGGCATTGAACTCATACTGGAAATTACTGTTTCCTACCGGATGGTCACGGGGACGTGGTGCAGTGTCTTCGCATGACTGACAACGGACAAGACGTGCGGCTTCGATCAACTCCTTGCTTGCCTTACCTGCCTTTAAAATGTTCTTCAAAGTTGACGGTGCAGGATGTCCGAACTGCCGATGCAAGCGACGGATTGCAATGCGGGTCCTCTGGGGGAGAGCACGCCACAACTGCCTTCGTTTCTGTTCCGTCATGTCGGCTCCGGGCAATGCAAGTTGATCTAACATGAGTTCTTCCTGTTCTCTTGCGGACAACGGTTTCCCATCGTCTTGCTTGACCTCCTGGAGAACTCCTTCAATATCACTGTCGTCAATTTCAGAGATGTCTTCAAGTTCGTCTGCAACAAAACATGTCCGTGCAAAATGCTCCAAATAAGTTTCTTCCGACAAGGTATTCAACATCTCTAGGAGTCTTGCTGATTTCGCGTCTTCAAAACACTTTGGAGTCATGTTCTCTCCGCCCCAACCTTCCAGCGCCTCCAAGAGCTTGGGGCTTTGCGGGCCTGCCAGAGCAAACTCTAGGTCACCACCAAGACAAATGGAATGTTCAACTGATATCTCGAGGAGTGGTGTGAAGAGTAGAAGGTTGCATCCATACATGTCAACTTCCATGAGCATGTCATGCCAAATCCTCCTAGGGTCCATGTTCTCCAAAAACAAAACTACCAAACCAGGGATCCTGTTCGAGATGTGCTTGATGACCTCTTTGCGGGTCTTTCCCCAACTTGGTCCTACATCGAATACCTTTGCACTCTGGGGTGCATTTGTCAGCAAGTCATCCTTGACAATGACCATGTGTTGCACACTCAACGGATTGTTCGAGACGAGTGCATGCAAGACCGAATCGTTCTCTTGCAAAGTCTGCAGGCCAGTGACGAACGCTTGTTTTTCTCCCTTGTTCATAGTCCGATGGTCCAGAGCTACGAAAGCGTGACCTTCGCTATCGGAACTCAGCTCGATCTCTCCCTGAAAGCGGTTCAGGATGAACTTGTCTCGGTCGAGCACCTCACGTGAACTGGTCGGACGATCCGGAGTGCTTTGTGTGCTCATGTTAATTAGATCATCGTCTGACAACTCCTCCTTGGGTGCGTTCGACGGGTCAATTGCTGTGCAACCAAGAAACGGTTCGACGAGCTCTGCATCACGTGGCTCTTCCATGCTTTCCTCCTTGGGGATCTCGGTTGCCGGCTCTACGGGCTCTGCCATGCTCGTTGGTTCTGCCTTGATACGTTTTGCTGGTCCTCCGCCTGAATCATCGCCATCGCTTCCTCCGTCACCAGGCGGGTCGTGGCCGTCCTGATCATCGTCATCATTCTGTCCGTCACCTC